GCAAGGATTACAGAGGGGGAGGGAGAGAGAGAGACAGTTGGAGAAGGGTGCGAGGGGGAGGGTGAGCGAAGGAGTCTATGACTCAATCCTGCCGTCGACGGCTGTGGTGAAGTTTAAACAGAAAGCAGTTAAAATCACTAAGCAATGTGGCGAGAAAGCACTGAGTAATAATTTGGGAGGTTTCGAAACCTAAAAATGCTAAGTTTAGTTTATAAAAAATCAAGATTTTAAAATATATATATTAAAAATAATATATTTTTTGATACTGTATCAATTTTACAAATGTATAAAGACACATGCATAGTTTCAATACTATATGTAACAGTTCAGATTTAAATTTGACCATTTTTTTTTACAATTAGTTCAAAATCTTAAAAAATATAGGTATACTAAAATAATTAGTTAAGATATTACAAATTTATAGTTAATGAAATAGTTTCAATACTGTGTAGCTCAGATCTATTTGTAACAATTTTTTGCAATTATAGTAGCTCAATAAATGCTTTTAAGGAATAACAAAAATTCCTATAAACGAAGTTTAAGAATCATTCAAATCCAATTTTTGAATATGGAACAGTATTTGAACACTGCCAGTCTAGGATATTTGAAACGCCAGAAATCTCCCAGTTTCCTCATTTTTAAACAAGTTTTTCTCACCGTGTAGAGGGTGAAAAAAAAATAGGGATAAATGCGGCAAATGGAGGCGAATGAAGAGGCGCATAACGAGGCAGGAGATGAACAGCAGTTGCAGCCATAAAAAGGCAACCCGCCATGTTGTAACAGTTGTAAGCTGACAATGACAACGACAGAGACGGCTATAGCCGGCCAGAAGAATAACGAGAGAGAGACGGAAACAGAGAATCGGAAAGAGACAGCTACAAAGAAAGCGACGTAGACGAAGCACGCACAACAACAATAATAAGAACGGCAGGACGAGTTGAAAATGTAATTGAATTTCTGTTGACAGATTTTAACGCACAATATCCTGCAGCAACATTGTCGCAAAAGGCGACAGATAAGCTTGATAAATAAGTTATGAATACGGAAAAAAAATTTCACAAGCGCGTGGAAATTACACGGAGAACGCGAAAAAATATCCAACGGCATGTGCAACGTTCGAAATTCAATAAAGATTCAATGCAATTGGTTGGGGTCAGCATCCATGCTTTATACTTTGTTTGCCATCAATAAATATTGCATACTCCCAGATTCCTTGTGTTGATTGCTAGTTGCCGCTGCTCATTCAATTATGGATGACAAAAGATCGGCAAATGGAAAAAAAAATAGCTGTGGCCCCCGGGCTTTAACCATATTAAGTGGTTTTTAGTGGTTGCGAACCACTTTATTGAAAGGATGCAGCCTTTAATTGAACATAAAACGTGGTCACACAAAATCCTTACCCAGGGGAATTTTTTATTGGCTCGAATTAGTGAAGACTGAGCTACCCAAATTGTGTTATCCGACGTGGTTAATTAAAGTTTTCTGCAAAGCCTTTTTGATTGTAAACACTTTTTTACAATAGATGACAGCATAACATGTAATTAATTTGATTCAGAGCACAGAGATTTTGATATATTATGTTTAATACATTTAAAATAAAATAATTAATTAACTTAGGTCCAGACTAAAAAAAAGTGGTGCAGAAATTTAAATAAGTGTCTCGATGTGCCTTTTCAATTACATTTTAGTTAAAGCACTGATTGTCAAGTATAAAATAAATAAACAAGCGAAAGTTAGCTATCAATAACAACAAAAATCATACAAATTTTTAATAAGGTTTTAGTTAAAGCACTGATTGTCAAGTATTAAATAAATAAATAAACAGGAAAGTAAGCTATCAATAATGACTAAAAACTGTAACATTTCCAGCAATTAAAACATGAAAATTCATTTTTTTAAATGTTTTTTATCTACATAGCACTTGGCGTGTAGTTTTGAGACAAACTTTCAACAACAGCCGCGGATATGTTGGGGGATATGGAAATGACAAAAGTTTCCAGCGGTAGACCTGTTTTTCGCTTCCGATTCCCCTCTCTTGTCTCGTTTTTCCCAGATTTTCCTCCTCTTTTCCAAAGCTCACTCGCTAAAAGTTATGCAATTCAATTATGTCCTTTTGATTGTTTTACAGTTTTTCAGTTCGACAAGAAATGAAAAGTAAAATTAAATGAATACTTTGCGTCTTTGCCATCCTCCATTTAACTTGATGACACACACACACACACACAAACACACACCAAAATACATACTCACTAAAAACGTATACCCAAACACTTGTGCGGTGGAAAAACGATTTTCCATGTACCCAGCGTTTTTCTGTGGACAAGCACACAAGTTTTTATGTTGTCCTGTAATAACAGACATGGAAACTCGTTGACTGACTGGCTGGCTGGATGGCTGGCTGGCCTGATTGACTGATTGATGAACTGACTAACTGAGCTACAGGCAAATTGCGAAAACACTCTTAGTGTGCTTACATGGAAAATCAATTCGCTGCGAGACGTTGAGAGCCCCCAAAAAAAAGGGAGAAAGGCGAGCCACACCAGGCAGCACTAAAAGTATAGTTCGATAGGAACGAAAAGGAGTTCTAGTTGCAGTTGTGCGTGTGCACGATAAAAAAAATCCTTTCATTTTTAGTTAAGCATTGAACTTTTTTGTTTGTTCCAAATATATTAATGGTCCAATCAAATTAAAAAATGCGAGTGTCAAGAGTGTTTTTGTGTCAAAACTCAATCAATTGTTTTCAATCGATCAGGGATGCATTGTATAGGTTGCCAGCTGTTCAAAATAGCAACTCTTTTAACTTAAGGTCTTATTTTGGCCAAGTTACAACAAAAGGACTCCTTAGGATTTTGTTTTTTTTACAAGTCTCTAAAAACTCAAAAAACACCATAAATATCTGTTTTTCTATCACAGTGCTGAGAAGTAATGGTCAAAAGATGGAATAACATACATCGGCGAATTCGTCATTAAATTTCCAATCGAATGGCACTCACAGTTTAAATTTTTCAAATTTTCGAAAAAAATTATGATGTACCCTTATCAAAATTGCGAAAATTGGTCAAAAATTTAATTTCTACAAAAATGTTTTTTTAATTAATTTTGTATGATTAACTAGAATAAGCAAAGATTTTTTCTCAGTGAGAAATATATAACTTGCTTTAAGGCTGGCAAAGAAAAGATGGTGAAAATTCAACGCAGCGTGGGATACCAATCGATTCGCCTTCAATTTTCTTTTGGTGGGAAAACGACACAAACTTTAAATGGGAAAAACGGAGTGGGAAATTGGCGGGGGGCCGGACAAAACTCAGCTGGATGCAAACGACAAACCACTTTGGCCCAAAGAAGCCGCTAATGTGTGTGATGTGCGCCATAACTGTGACACCAACCACAGCGGGTTGTCGGTTAAAATTAACGCAATAATGACGCAAAGAAGCAGAAGAAACTCAAAATAAAATTCCACTCATTTTAATTACAGATTTTATTTTGTTTTTATTTTATTTTTTTGTTCACATCATAACTTAATCAGTGGTTTATTTGAATTTTTTCCAAAAGTTCGCCTCATTTGCATGCCATTGCCAATCTTCAGCTCATTGCATTACACATTCCAATGAATTTATTGCAATGTGATTTAAATTTGATTTTTCAATTATGCTAATAGGAAATAATAAAAAAAAAATGCACTTTTTTCAGCAAAAAATTGGGATTCGTAAAAAACATATGTAATTTACAATAGTATGTAAATATAAATTGGCAGAAACTCGAAACTAGGAAATTAAAAAAAAAAATCGGATTAAACATGTTTGTATAAAAAAATGGAAATTTAAATAAACTAGTCAATACATTTAATGCAATGGGAACTATAACGAACGAAAAAATGCGCTTATAATATAAAAGTTGTAATTTTATTTTTAAAAAATTTACCCAAAATAAATTATTTTAATTTGAATTCTTTTATTTTAATATCCCGACGAAATAAGGCTTTGTCTTTTTGTCATTCAACAGTCACATTATTTTAATTATTTACAAAATACCAAGGATGTGCTAATGGCTTACACTTCATTGGGCTCTGTTGGTGAATTTGCTGCTTTAAAATTGTAAAGATATAAGAGGGGCTGGAAAAACGAAAACTTCGCCGAGGGGTTGGAGAAAAAGAAGACCAAGGCCTTTTTCCATCCCCTTAAAATGTATTTGTGTGTGTGTTTGTGGCACTTGAGTAAGGTCAGTTAAAGCGTCTGGGGAAATGGTTATCCTTATTGCATACTTTGGCAAAAATGTCTTCTTTGCGAGTGTATGTGTGTATAATTCGAGGATACGCGGATACAAGGCAAGTTCTGTATAAAAAGCCTCATATCAGTTGCCTTGGAGGCTCTTGCGATAGTCGTCTTGCTCTCAAAGATAATCCCAAATCATACTTAAATTTGTATTCCTTTTTAAACGCAACAAAGCACTTTTACTAGGAAATAACGTTAGCCAAATTGAAGATTCTTAAGCTGAATTTCGAATGTTAAGTCGTGAATATTGTTAATAATAAATTATTTAAATTTTGAAAGTGATTTAGATTTTTTAGATTGCAAAGATTAAAAACTCACTCATACAACTGCATGGACTTCATATTATGACTAGAATTGAAGCCTTTTCAATGGCTTAAAATGGGGGCAACATTGTTTTGTATTATATGGCTTAACCTATTGTATGTACAAGTTGTGCTGAATTATGTGCAGCTTAAATAACCAACCAGAGGCAAACAATTGAGCCAGTTTCCATGCTTCGAATGCCACAAAACATTCTGTCCCGCATTTGCTCTTTTTATGGAGGCAATTAAAATTCGCTTACTTGCTGAACATTCGCGAGCAGAATACATAAATGAAATCAAGTGGAGAATAAAATATGTACACCAAGCGTTTAAATACACATTTTGCTGTGCTAATAATAAAGGAATTTTCTGTGCTCTTATTAAATTCTGTTCTTTGGCAAAAACAAGATGTGGCTTTTAAAATCTCTGTTTGCTCATAGCGAAGGAGATACCTTTTGAAAGGAGAGAATACAGAACATACAGCAAATATATTTTTTAAATTTACAAAAATCTACCATTGATAATCTATGGCCTGCGTATTACTTTGTGAAAATTTTGCCAGATTTTTATCTCTATACAATTCCAATTTCATGTATACATTTGTCTGCGAGTGTGTGTATGTTTGTGTGGGAGCGGCTTTTATAAGCCACAAAAGAAATGAAAAGGACGTAGGCCTTAAGACCGTTTCAAGTTACTGAATGTGTGCTTCCTTTTTTGCTTCACTTTTGTGTATGTCCGTTTGAATTAATATTACAATGTCCTTAAGGTTTATTTGGCTTGATATTCCTTTTTATCTTTATATTTGCTGCCCCGCCTATCCCAGCTGCTTTTGTCGGTTTCTGATTCTGATTCTGATGCTGACGCTGATGCTGATTCCGATTCCTTTTCGCTTTTGGCTGTTTGATATTTATGCTTTCTTGGCTTCTTGGCTCGCATTGTTGTTATATTCCTTGGCATATTAAAAATTCATACAAATGTAAAACGAAAATCCTCAAGACAATCATAAAAAACAGCAGAGGCAAGCGGACCCGGCAAAGGGTTTCCCATTTTTTGGCTCAATGGGAGTCTTGCGAAAACGCTTGCAAATAAAAATGAAATATAATTTAACTCGCAAATCCACGTGTCCTGCTGTCTCCCTCTGGATTTGTGTGTGTATTCGTGAGTATGTGTGTGGGTATTTGAGTGAACTAAATCAAAGCTGCTGCCGCAGAAAGCTGCTTAAAAAGCGAAGGCCAAGCCGTGCATTCGCTCGGCCCCAAAAAGTAGGCAACGGTTTTTACATGGCGCAACGCACACTGCGTATGCGTGATATTTCGCTGTGCAAAATAATGCTAAAAACCAGCTGCTGGAAATGAAAGGACCTGCTAGCTTCTAGGACATACAGTCCGTATCGAAGTGCACTTCCGAATAAATAATATATAATATATTAAACCGTGCAAAAAATAAGTACTATTCATCCCAGATACTATAAGCTTTAACCTCGCTGCTCTTAAAAAACCAAACAACAAAGTTGTCAATCAATAAAGATAATATTTAAAGCACGATATCATTACAAATAGTAGTGTTATTATATTGCCATTGTCGTCGTTCGAATTCATTTGTAAAACAAGTTCGTTGATGGTATCTTTTAATTATAATTATCTCGACTTATTCGGCAAGCTATTAAATTCACAAATTTTCACATAACAGGCATGAAACGCACTGTACTACCAGTCAGTCGTATGCGTGATTTGGTGAAACAATTTTCGTGCCCACTTCGCGAGGAACGTGCCAAGCGTTTGGCTATTGATCTCTGGCTTTTCCAGCACGCTTTTTTCAGTTCGCTTTCCCTCCGCCGGTTTTTTCTTTCCGTTTGCTTGAGCGGAGCTCATAAAAATTCTAAAAACAATAAACGTCAACTTTTGCATGGCAGCTAATTCGGGGGAAGCTGCCTGCGGGCAGCATAAAGTGGCCTTGCAAGAGAATGTTAGGGGACGTTGATTTTCGGTCTAAATGATAAGCGTCGGATGTTTAACTAGGCTGACACTTCATCCAGCCCTGAGCCCTAAAGATTTCTTCATTTGCTGATATATGTCCTCTTGCACTCTGCTTACCTGTAAAAAAAAAAGAAGAAATAAAGAGAAGAGCTTGATTAGATTGACAATATCAACTGGAAATTATTTAATTATTAATTATTTAATATTAAGGGATAACATTTTTAAATTCAAGTAAATAATTTATCAAACATTTCTGAAAATACTTTGCTTATTTATATTATTTATAAGTTTTTAGCAAAAATGACACTCAGTCTTCGAGATAATTAGTAATAAGAACACATTAAAAACCAGGATAACAATTTAATCTGATGTAAATTTGCATTACTGATCAGAGAGAACGGTATTTACAAACAAATTGCTTTTTTATCAGTTTGAATGTAAAATAACAATGCCTATACATTAATATATATGTAAGTAAAAAGGCCTTTCGAGTGTGAGATAAATCAATTTATAGAGACAATTACGGCAATTATCGTGACAGAAAGAGGGCCAGCGATTGGGTCCGTGGAATAAATAAATCAAAAACATATTGGCAACGTGTGTATCAATTAAGGCGGAAATAAAATCAATTTATTTATTTATTTAGTGACCAATCGCATGCAAAATGCATATGAGGCTATGCGCCTGGATTTGTGTGTTTCATTTATTATTTATTGGTGCCCCAACGTTTTTCCACACCAACTTTCCAACCATTTTCCGTTCCGTAGTCCCTGCATTTGACTGCCCCCAGCACTTTAGTCCTGTTCGGACAGCACCCACACCTAATTAATGCGAGTCCTTGCACCACAACTGCAGGTTTTCCACAGACGAGAAAATGGTTAAAACTGGTGGAAAGCGAGGGCGGTAGCGCGGCAGACGATTATTGGTGAAGGTAACTATTAAATTGATAAGAAAGGCGAGGAAAACCACAAGGGTCAGCTATGATTAAGCGGTGGATTGAGTACTAAATTGGATGAAAAATTGATTCGCAAGGATGGCCAATTTGAAATCGCTTTATTTAGTACGATGTTATCTATGTGATAATTGAAGCTCTATTTGAATTTATTAGGCTTGATGCACACAGCAATTTACATATTTTATGATGTATTAACTCAATTTAATAGCAATATTTGTTTTACTAACATTCTATATATTTAAAACTTTTTTAGCATATTTAATACAAATTAAAAAGCAACTTAAAATAAATTACTTACAATTTATTATGATATGGGGGGTGGGAAAACGAAAGATTTGAAAGCAACGAAACGAAATGTAATTTTTGTTTGTGTCTACGATTAACGGAATCATCGAGCGCTTTCAACTAAATCCCCGTCTATGGGAATCAAATCAGTTTGTATTGTTTGCCATCCATTTTTGTTGCTACGCTCAATTAGATTTGTTAAAGCTTTCAATTTACACACAGTTTTGATGGCCTAGAAAGAGGGAGGGGTGGAGGGTTACCCGAGGGGCGTGGAAATCTGGGAGGTGAAAAGCTGCTGTCTTGGCAAGTCGCCAACATCTTGCAACGCCTGTGCTCGTCTGTACAACATAATTAAGTTTAATTGACAACCGCTGACTGTTTGATTGGCTTCACTTGTTGTTTTTTTTTTGTTATTGCTACTCATTGTTTGTTGTTTTATTTTTATTTTCATTATTGTTATTGTACTTCTCCTTGACTGAGCGACCGCCGCCATTTGTGCCACTTGGCCAAGCTCAACAATGACTACGAGAACCCTGCCCACCCACTCAACTTTATGCCCCTCCCCCCGCCCAATATGTACATCATTTTCGCCCAACATATATTCATCATATTAAGTACAATGTGCAGTTGTTGCTGTGGTCACACGGGGCGTATACTTAATATGATCCACTGAATTGAAATGGTCAGTGGGGGGAAAAACGGAGGAAAGACAGCACTCAATAAATCATTCGAAATGAGCTTTGCTGTACGTTAATCGCACAGACAGACTGCAAACCTTCAGAACAATAAGAATGTTAAGGGGGTTAAAGACCGCAATCAGAACATTATTTTACTTGATGTACATTCAAAACTGTAGAGATATGAACCGAAATTTCCAACCAAATGGCATTTACAGATGATCATATTTATACCCGTTAATTATTTTTGATCAGCTTATGTTAAAGAGCTTATAAATATGTTAATTTTTGACAATTTTCCAAAAGTTGCAACAAAATTATCTCATCAATTGGCATTCACAGCTGAAACCCACTTAAAAATGGCAAAAACTGAACAAAAAATGAATTTTTTCATATTTTGGTCATATTACAATAAAAACAAGAAAGAAAGCAAACTTCGGCAAGCCGAAGTTCATATACCCTTGCAGCTATTGCAAGAATTAAACATTTTTGAAAACATTAAAATTATGATTTACTTTCGTATATGTTTAAAAACATTGAAGCTATGATGATTTGCAGCTCAATTATTTGATAGTTATTTTATATATTTTTATTATTTCTAAGGGAGCTATATGATATAGACGTCCGATTTTGATAAAATTTAAACCATAATTCTGAAATATTTAACCTTTGCTATATGTCGAAGAACTCAACAAAAAATTAAAAAACAGAAAAGTTATAATTTTTTTCATTTATTTTTCCGATTGTTCCTATGAGAGCTATATGATATAGTCGTCCGACTTTGATGAAATTTAAACCGTAAATCGGAAATATTTAACCATTACTAAATGTCGAAGAACTAAACAAAAAATTAAAAAACAGAAAAGTTATAATTTTTTTTCATTTATTTTTCCGATTGTTCCTATGGGAGCTATATGATATAGTCGTCCGACTTTGATGAAATTTAAACCGTAAATCGGAAATATGTAACCATTACTAAATGTCGAAGAACTAAACAAAAAATTGAAAAACAGCAAAGTTATAATTTTTTTTCATTTATTTTTCCGATTGTTCCTATGGGAGCTATATGCTATAGTCGTCCGATTTTGATGAAATTTAAACCGTAAATCGGAAATATTTAACCATTACTAAATGTCGAAGAACTAAATAAAAAATTAAAAAACAGCAAAGTTATAATTTTTTTTCATTTATTTTTCCGATTGTTCCTATGGGAGCTATATGCTATAGTCGTCCGATCCGGCTCGTTCCGACTTATATACTACCTGCAATAGAAAGACAACTTTTGGGAAAGTTTCATGCAGATAGCTTTAAAACTGAGAGACTAGTTTGCATATAAACGGACGGACAGACGGACAGACGGACAGACGGACAGACGGACAGACGGACGGACAGACGGACGGACAGACGGACAGACGGACATGGCTAGATCGACTCGCCTAGTGATGCTGATCAAGAATATATATACTTTATAGGGTCGGAGATGTCTCCTTCACTGCGTTGCAAACTTCTGACTGAAATTATAATACCCTCTGCAAGGGTATAAAAATCTTAAGAAATGTGTAAGGTTTTTATATACAACAAAGCGTATTAATAAAATGTTTGCAGGTAAGCCGTTAAGATCTTTATCTTTCCTTAATTGCGAAATATGTCTCCCTTTGATACATTAGCGTTTAATTAAAACTTTGCCCAAGTATTTTGCCTTTCCCTATTGTATTAAAATGAAAACTTTTAACAGAGTTTGAATCCTTGTGGTCACAGCTAAAAATGTATTCGAAAAGTTAAAACATTCGAGTCCCTTCTCGCCCGATCTCGCACTTGCGTTTAATCAATTAAACTGGATAATCCGGTGATTCCTAATGGAAATCCACTAGATTTGGTGCTCGATATGTGGGACAGCTGCTCTGCTTCCTTTTCGCATTCCCATAACCATTCCCATTCCAATTCCCAAGCGAACCCACACGATTCCGAGGCGAGGCCATGTCTGCTAGTCGCGATGAATCAACCGAACTCGTTGCGCTGACAGACGGAACATTGTTGAATGTGGTGCGCGGAGCAGAGCCGAGCAGAGCAGAAAACTTTGAAATGGATTAAATGACAGAGGGGGGCCGTCGACTTGGGCCAAGCCCACAGTTCAATGGACGATTTTCATTTTGCTTGCGGTAGACAAAAGTTTCTCCTTTATCAAAGTTGCGGCTTAAGGGCGTCGGGGAAGGAATAAGCCAGGGGGCTAAGGGGTAGTTATAGCACCGAACTGCTTAGCATTACCGCTAACGAGAAAAATCAACTGTTAAATTGCTGAAAATGGCACAAAGCGATGCTGAATCACAAGCACGGGGAAAAGCGATACGAAAACGCGAGTGCAATCGAAGTAGAAAATTATAAATAAGAACTTCCGACTAAGAAATAAGAATAAAATAATGAGGATGGCATGGTTTTATACAAAATATGTTATAGCTAAAGTCCTCTAAAATTTATAAAAGTCTTAAGAAAAATAGAATATTTTATAATGATATAAAAATAAAAAATAAATATATTTCCAACAACCTAAATTTTTTCGGGAAAAAATTATGAACTCTTACTAAATCTTAAAAAATGTTATACTTCCAGGACAGAAAATATCTAGAATTTAAATCATTTAAGACTCCCTAGTGCAAACTATTCAAAATTAAGTGTATTTAAGAGGGAGTGGAAAAATGTTCTTAACTCAAACGTCTGCTGTCTGGTATGGCAGTCGTGGGTAAAGTAATATGCCCAAAAACTTTACGAGTGTAATGAGAATAAAAACTTGTCTACAAGTTTCGTGTGGATTTTCATTAGCAGCGGCAATGGCCAAAAACGAAGCAAATGATATCAAAATGAAAACAAACGGACGGCGGTTGGCGGATCAACCTGTTGCCTCGAAAAGTAATCGAAGTTCATTCTTTACTTTTGCTGCGGGTCACGAATAAATTCAGGCATTTAAGGTGCTCACGCGATTTGGCAACAATAACAAAAGGAGACGACGACGTCCACGACAATGATGTGCGGCAAAAAAAAAAAAAAAAACAAAAAAAGAAAAACCCCATTCCACGGGGCGTATGCGTGTTACTGAAACAAAAATGGCTGCTCCGCACACACACACACACACACACATACACAATCACGAACTGATAGCGGAACATGTGTGTGCACTGTATATGTATGCATGTGTGCATGGGCGTGTGTTTGCCATAGCTTCATTATGATGGCGTCGTTAGGTCTATTAAATTTCCCTTTGTTGCATTACCCGACGTCTTTTATATTGTTCTCCACAATTTTAGTTACGTATAAAACAGTCGGCAAGGGTCCTTGAACTTCACGCGAATTGAATTTTCGTGGGTCTATCAGAGAGACAGTCGATCCATAGAGCAGTAGCCATATTAATACACTTCTATTTATATACTTTAAAGTATTTTCTTAAGAAATAATTTCTTTACTTAAATTTTGTCAAAATATACTTTTAAAAGAATATGATTTCTATAAGTTTTCGAAATACATGCACAAACTAACAGGAACCCAGACAAAAATATACCATTATAAATTAACCCCATTTGACTACAGAAAACTTGGAGTAAGCCACACGTTCGCAGTACTATTGAAAACATTAGCACCGCAGAAATCTCCTTGAGGCGCTAGCCACATTGGCTAGTGTTGTGTTGGCCCGTTCTGTTGTCCTTTCGGCCTCTCCTTCTTAACGGCTAATGTGCAAAGTCGCTAAAAACTTGAAAACTCGCGGCAATGCCGTCTAAAATTAATGCGGCATGACCTTTTCAGCAAGCCAAACAACTTCTACAAAAACTTTTGCCAAACGAGAACCAGAACGAACCATCTGAAACAAGAGGTGGTGAAAGTCGGGGGAAGAAAGCGAGGGAGAAAGTGGATAGCTGGTGAACAAATGGGGCACTACCTGAACCTCAACCCAACTCAACCCATTGATCGGACGGAAGATGGCGGAAAGACCTGGTCATGGCCATTTAATGTGCGCATAATTGGTTGTTGCATATTTTATCGCTTAATTGCCGCACATCGGGTGTGGGGATAGTCGTGTTGCGGCTCAGATAGCCACATCATTCACCACCCATTGGAGCATTAGCAAGTATTACCCTTAATTACAGCCCAGTGAGAACAAATTGATGAACTACAGTGTTTTGGGAAATTAAAGGATCTCCGAGATCACTGAGTTCCTCAACACATTTTGTTTTACTTTCCAGCCTAAAAATCTATAAGCAATACAAACAAATAAAATATTTTATATAAATACATTTAATCATATTATCCTAAGCTTTTTGCAAAATATAAAATTCTTCTATTAAAGCTTGATTTTTTTTAGGCAATTAAATTTAAATTTAAAATACAAAGAATATTTATGGTTTTAAAAATATTGTGGCTTTATTTTGAAATATACACTTACCGCGTAACACAGTAATAGAAAAGAATTTGCAAAGGCTTTCCCAAACGACGTTTTTCTTTCCCGTGCAGTCTTTAATCAACATGTTTGTTGTGGGTGGCTTTTGTCGCGAGAAAGTTGCTCCCCCGGATAAGTCAACTTTGTCGTGTGTCTTCCAATCATTTTCCACGCATTTATTTCGCAATTAAATAAACCAAACTATGAACCCATGCAGAGATGCTCAAAATGAATTGAGAAGAAGACAGTACAATAGTTATTTGGCCTAAACCGTGGAGCTAAAGCATTGTAGAGGAAGGGAGCCACTGGCTTGGTGGCCCAATGAGCGCTTGTCTTTCTTCTATCGGATCGAATGCCCTTTTCCTCGTCGGGTGTTAGGTTTAAATCCAACCGAATTAGTAGCTTTCCTCGCAGAACAGTGGTGTTTTGGTCTGTGATCGACCTGCGACAAGATCTCGGTGATCAGCGGTCGATGGTTCTCCACAGTCCGTCGAACCTCCGCCAAACGAGTGCTCACTTGCAGCATGGTTGAAAGTTCTGAGCGGGTACTTTGGGCCATCAGCTCGTTCAAATAGTTCGCAGCGAGGGAGGTCAGGGCGTCGACGCCCAAACAGTGGGCGGCCAGGATGAGTTCCATCAGCTGGCAGAGTTCGCTGCCCAAAAATCGCTCCTCCCACAAACTAAGCCCGAATCCAGATACATTTTTTTTGGCATCCAGATCAGCTCCAGGCTTGGCATCTATAGTTAGATTTTGGTTGCTAATTTTTGTATTTTTGGCTTTGATTGCAAACAAACTGCAGCCAGTATTTTCATTTTCATTTAATTTTTCAACGCTATTATCTTGCTCACAGTTCCCACTAATTGTTACTTTGCCACTTTCGCTTCCGTTCGCCCTTTGCTTATTTTGGCTTTTAGATATATGCATATTTTTACTGTTTGCTTCCTTGCATTCATTTGTTTCATTTTCACACTCACTAGCTTCTTTGGTTTCACTTATAATGTTTTCCAAAGTCCTTACAGTTTTCCCATTTCCGCCATTATTACATACATTACACATTGGATTTTTCATATTTTCTGCAGTTTCAACTGGGCTTGTTTTCTCACTATTATTATAATTTGTGCTTGTATGGCAGCCACTACATCTTTGATCATTCGCAATTTTTCTTTTTTTAATTGTGATCTTATCATTTGTTTTATTTGGTGGTGTGGCATACTTTCGTTTTTTGCTGGAACCGTAATTTTGAGTGTACTCACTGCGATTTTCCCGATTGTTCTTGGCATTTGTATTTCCGTCGCCCTTACTTTCCTTTTCCCATTGACTGGCAATCATTTCGCATTTGCCTATCGTATTGTCGTTGTTGGCACACCTCTTCCCACCTATTGCACTTGCCATCTCCATCTCGCTCTGCTGGTGCATCCAAACGATCACCCGGATCAGCGTCGTCGAGCTAATGGACTGCAATTTGATGGGCTGCTCCACTGTCCTCCGTTGGCGCATCATTTCCGAGTGGCGGTAAATGAGGCGACATGGCACATAGATTATCCGATGATCGTTGCACAGGAAGCGCAGGAATTTGATATCCGTTTGCCGTATTTTGCCCCCCACCAAATCCAGCAACGTTCGCAGGGAAATCAGGTCGTTGTCCTTACCCTCGCTGATGCCAGCATCATTATCATTAGAATTATCATTACCATTAGCATTATCATTATCACCAACTTCCTTCCGAGGTACTAACTGTTGCTTCTTCAATGCACCAACTTTGGGTTTCGTTTCCAATGAGGCACTGGCCACCGTTGGCGAGCAACTGTGTGCCAACTGGATGCGACGAATTGAGGTGCGATTTCCGCGCACCGCCATATGAGCACACGGATCAGGAAGCGACGTCAGCGAGAGCTTGACCCGCTGCGGAATCGTCGATTTGCGGATTAAGGACATGTTATCCAGGTGGCGGATACGGTTCCCCTATATTTTCCACGTATTTTCTCTGTTTTCCTCTGGGACTTAAAATTGGGCTCGGTATCGGATTGTCAGTGTGAGTGTGTCTGCCGATGAATGCTTTTCCTGTGACTGCTCGATCAAATAAAATTACAAACTATTGCCAAGTTATTATTATTCTGAGGCAACAGTGCGTATGAGTGATATAGAGACAAAAATAATATAATTTTTTTCTAAAATGATTAAATTTTATTTGTTTTGATTTGGCACAAGAAATGTCTTATTTTAAATGGAAAAAATACCATTCTTCGAAATATACTTTTTTAAGTGCTCCATAGCAGTTACTCAATTGAAACGTGTTTAAAAAGAGTACCAATTGCCCTTAGCTGCGCAAAGTTGAATAAATACGATTTTCTGCTAAATAAGGATGGCCTAAATCATGTGATCACCATTGATTGAATAAGTATGGGAACTAGGCAGAAAAACCTTTCGAGCAAATACTTAAACGAAATATCTGAATAAACAGATGTACCCCTTGTCCATTTTGAGACTGCTTTGCAGGGGTTTTTGAAAAAGAACATCGTTTGACCCAAATTAAATGCAAACGTTTATTAGTGTTTTGTGGGTGTGTGTTTGAGCAGCACATTAAAAAGTAATTTAAATTGAATTTCTCGTCGCGCACCACGGGGGCATCAGGAATGGGTTTCGAATTGAGATTGGAATAAACATGGCAGTGGCACAGTTGTAGGCACTGTCTTATTGTAATTAGAGCAAGGGGACAATAAATCTCAATATAGGGGTATCCGCCCGTCCATTCGGAACCATTTCAATCCCATTTCGTTGCCGGGTGCGTGGATTTAAATTGCAATGGCGGAAGAGAAAGGAAGAGAAAGGAATCAGGGAAACCAGCGTAACACTATGGCAATGCATAAATCTAGCTCTGTTCCCTGCATTAAATGGAAGGTGAGTTAAGTACACTACGTAAAACAATCACTCAAATTTAAAATGTTTTCTTTTAAGCAAACCACATTAATTTATAATACTTTCAAAAGTCAGCTAAAATACTTATATTTCCAGGAAAATTAATTAAGCCACGAAAGGAGATATATTTTATGATAATGCCTTACCCAATTGTCTCTCAGTATTTTTGACATTTTTTTCCAGTGTATAAAGCACCAACTAAACGATAAAAACTGAGATAGAAATCAGGAAAGGGGGAATGTGGGGAAAGCGCTTCGTCGTCGCAGGAATTAGCTCAAAATTGCAAAACTTAAGCCAAATGCTGGCGCGGAAAAGGAGGAAAAAAGTGAAACGGAATCGGGCTAAAAGGAAAAGCACAAAAGAGGAGGGGGAGGCCAGCTACGATGAAGAAGGGAAAACAACAGGAGAGCTAGGTGAAAAAGGGAAAATCAAAACCACGAAACCAGGCGAAGGAAGGTTCATTCTTTGTTTTATGCCATCTACATAATAGATGGCTCAAGGAAGTAATAGAGAGAGATGGCAAATGCTGAAAGAGACAGCTGGAGGCGGTGAGTGAGAGAAACGGCTAGCAGCGGAAACAAGTCAATTTGCATTCCGGCTTAAACGAACATCGCCGAGTTAGTTAATGTTGCAAAGAAGTTTGGCTTAAAAAAAACATAGAGAGCAGGAAAGAGGATTTCGGTTGCATCAGCAATTGCAAATTGAATGCGAGAAAAAGACAGGGCGAATAAAAAAAAATAAAAAAAAGAAAAAGCTACCAGGCCAATAATTATCGTTTGTACTGCCTGTCCGGACTTATTTTATTGTTTCAAAATTAGTTTGGCCCCCGACCACGGGCACTAATCAATCAACTTACGAGAAAACTTCGATAAACTTTCGCCTTAACTTTGCTCGGCAGCAATTAACCTTAACTTAATTAATGAAACGGACAGCAAAATACGAGACTCTGTGCCAATCGCAGTATTCAGTGAAACTAAAGCAGTTTTTGACCAACTCTCGGTTAAATCTCATTTTAAATGATTGGAATGGAAAAAATAAGACACAATAAATATATATTTTGGTCTTTAATATAGAGTTCAAAATTTTAAATTTAATAACTGTTGCATTAGATTTGAGATTTTATTATATTTGCTTTAGATTTACTTTAATTGTACCTTAGACTGCTTTAATAAGTAAGTAAATATATGTTAACATTAAAATGTTTACTTATTTTAGCCTAAGAGCTGTTTTTCATGCATTTATCTTTCATTTAATTAATTGATTAAATTTAACAAAATCCATTGAATTCAAAGACTGAAATGGTTTTTTGGCAATTTGTAAATCAAAGAACAAAAGTCAAATATCGGCCTGAAAATATATTATTTATTGGAATACTATTGCAACCCCCTCAGCGACCTTAGAATAAACTGCCGAATTAGCTGCAACGCAGCTAAACAAAATGCTGCTGAATGAAATAAATAAATATTATTGACTTTGGTTTATTGCGTTCGGTTGTGTAACTGGCATTGCTATTATAAAATTAATTAAATTACACACTCCCGCGCAGCAGTGCAAAGACCAAAAGAGACAGCCATATGGATGGAGATAGAGATAGCGATATGCATACCGATGGCAATAATAAAACCATAATTTCCACACGCCTGCACAAATGTTTGTATGCCACTGTCCGCACTCGAAATGCAATTTGATTTCGGCTCTCTGTCGCATTTGGTTGTTTATTTGTACAACTCGCTAATTGAGCGGCATATAAATGCATGTCAAACCACTGCGAAGCCAAACGGATTGCATCGAAAACAAATAAATGTTCAATTACTAAAGGGCGACAATTATAACTGCCTAATACGTACGCGCAATGCAATGCAACGCTAGAGAATTTTGCGAGTTAATTAGTGCTTATGTTGACAGTCGTGCGGGTTTTTCACGGCAAATTTACCATTATAAAATTTCCAAATGTAATATAAAAATGTTAGAGGCAATCTGGTAATATATAATACATATGAAATAATAATGCAAATAAAATGAAGTACAGTAAATCAAGTGAAAAAACAAACTCTTGTAAAATCCTATTAAAAAAACGAAACTTTGTAAGGAATTTAAACTTTAATTAGTCACAAAATAAATAGGTAATGTATAGTGTTATTAATTATATGATATGGACATATTTTTTGGTATGGTTGGCATTTATTTTAGAGCCTCATTTAATTCGTAAGGTACTGTTCCCAAGAAAAGCTTTCTTTCCTGTTAAAGAAGTAAACTGTTGCTAAGCCCCCAAAAGGATTCGAGCCAATCCTTTCGAGTGAATTCCATTGCCCTCAAGAGAAACTTGCGTCAGGGATAATAGTGTGAAAACAAAACAAAGAAATAAACGTAAGGAAAAGAAATGAAATGTAAGGAAACGAAAAGAAAAGATAAGAAACAGGGAAAGAAAGGAAGAATGGGGCGTTGGGGTACATCGTAAAATGCTAGGGTAAACAAACATTTATAAATAATGAACATTGATTGCTTATTTGAACAAAATAAAGGCGGACATGGATACGGCTACGGTTACGCATTCACCCTCACGTTCAAGGATATATACCAAGACGGAAGGCGATGAACTGCAATCCAGGTGAATGTGTCAATAAATGTAATTGTGAATGTGAATGGCTGTCTAATCATTTTGGTCTTCAGAGGGCAAACTCATCAAGGGCCTTAATTGACTTGGGTGTGCGAAACTATAACCAGATATACACAGCCATATCAATTGGAAACGAAATGAGGTAGACATAGCTAAGGGCTTTCAAAAAACTCAAAAGACTTAAAAGTTGCACAAGATATCAAAACCAAAAATCAAATTCAAAAATATGTTTAAATAATATTTACTAGTAGTAAACAAATTCTTCACTTATTTCGCCTACTAGCCCTTAGTCTTATATGCTTAAGAAATTGACAAAAAATATATTCATCGACCCTATGAGTTTTGAAACCCATGATTTCAAAGTCTTACTTGTTTATTAATATTTTTAAAGAAACATTTGTAAGGGACAGTCCTCAAAAACAGTATATTATATTGAATAAAGGTGAAAGTACATTTACTTCTCATTTAATTCTTTTTCTTATAAAGTGTAGAGAAAACGATCTTTTCTAATAGGTACTTTTTGAATACCTTATATCTTTTGGAGTTTGTATAAAGGTAGAGAGCCTTGAGAATCGTTAGCTGAGTTCTTCATCTGCCAGAAAAGAAAGCTGCGAAGGTGTTTGCACTATTACTCGGTGTCTCCACTCATTTGGCCTTCATTGAGTTGGGTTTATAGCTTTCAATTTGAGTGTTTCTGGGGCCTCCTCTGTCATGCATGCGTCCAAGGTGCTTAATAATTTAGACCCACCCACATACACGCCCAGCAAACGCACACATGTGCAAGTGGACGTGTACGTGCATGAGCGAAAGCCTTTCTCCCTGCTCCTTTCTCCACTCACACAATCAATGCCATTATGCGTATGTGTGATGTGCGGTGTGGTATGCAATGCGAATTTAATGCACTTCTTGATGCAGCTGTGCATAAGAAATCAGATGCAACCTGCGAGACGCCAAATAATCTTACTGTTTTCATATCTGAGATGGAGATGGATTTTTCGGTTTTTGTCGGATACATTTCTGCTCATCACATAAACAATGTCACGCCCATAGGCCAAACTCAAAAAATACCTAGTTAAGTAAAAATATAAAGTTGTGCAGTAAAATCTTTCTTAATACCATACACCGTTTACTTAGAATGTTTTGCGATTGATAAATTTATGAAATGGTTAGTCAATAACAACATAAATAAAAATTTTTTTTTTAATTTTCAAACTGTGTTTAAAGTAGGGATTATAAAAATGTTTTTTTTTTTAAATACATAAATTGAACTAATATAATCTTTAGATATAATTATTTATATTAACTCGTCATGTCATAATTATTTTCGGCTTTTAATTTTTTTCTTGGTGTAGGTGTGACAATTGTTTTGGGAGGTTGTGAGCCAATTTCTAGGGTGTCCTGAACGTTGACAGCCGGCAAATGCAAATGCGGTTTTAACATTTGCATGACGTTCCGTACGTTATTTACAGAATGGCTTAAATGGCAACATGACTGCCATTCACAGCTAATGACATTTTAAATAAAGACTTTC